TCAAACCAGCACTCCAAAAAGTTATGAAGGATAGTGTAGAAAAAGACAATGAAGACAGTTCCAAGAACTTTAGTAGAATGGATCCACCAGCAAGGAAAGCAATATAACAGAAGGGAAAGAAAGGGAACCAATGACAGGAAAATAATATCAAAGCACGTCATTTATGACTAGCAATGTGAAAGGTCTCAATTCACCAATTAAAATGAACAGACTGGCAGAATGGATCAAGAAACAAGATTCAACTATATGCTGCCTAGAAGAAACACATTTAAATCAAAAAGAAATTCATAGACTAAAAGTCAAAGGATGCAAAACAATATTCCATGCAAAAGGAACCTGGAAAAAAGCAGGGGTCACTATTCTATTTACAGATAATGTGAACTTCAAGCAACACAACAAAACAGACAAAGCAGGTCACTACTACACACTTGTTAAGGAAACAATCCAAGAGGAAGAGGTAACAATCATAAATATATAGGCACCAAATACTTGTGCATCCAGCTTCATAAAACAAATATTAATGGATGTGAAAACTCAAATAAGCACTAACACAGTTGAAGTGGGGGACATCAATACCTCACTGTCACAAATAGATCTACTAGACAAAAAATCAACAAAAACATCAGAACTGAACCAATCCTGTGAACAAATGGACTTAATAGATGTCTACAGCATATTCCACCCAACAACAGAATATACATTTTTCTCAGGACACATGGGACTTTTTCCAAAATAGACCATGTACTAGCTCATAGAACATGGTTAAGTAATGCAAAGGAATTGAAATTATCTGATGCATATTATCGATGGATATTATCAGATCATAGTGCAATGCTATTAGAAATCAATGTCAAAAGAAAGCAAAAAAACTGTCTAAACACATGGAAAATAAATAATACCCTTCTGAACATCCAATGGATCAGAGATGAAATTAAAGAGTATATACAACTGAATGATAATGCCAATAAACTGTATCAGAACTTATGGGATGCAATGAAAGCAGTTCAACAAGGGAAATTTATAGTGGCAAATTCCCACATCCGAAAAATCAGAGCAAGCTCAAGCAAATACCCTCAAATGTTGAACCTCACCCTTCTAGAGAAACAAGAGCAAGTTAAACCCAAAGCATGTATGGTGAGGAAACTATAACGATTAGAGCAGAAATTAATGCCATTGAGACCAAGAAAATAATACAAAGAATCCATGAATCAAAAGTTTGATTTTTTAAAGATTAAATAAAATAAACAAACACTTAGCCAAAGTTATTTTTTTAAAAAGACCCAAATTTATGCAATTAGGAATGAAACAAATGAAATCACAATGGATCCTTCAGAAATCCCAAAGTTCACCAATACTTTCTTTGAGAGCCTACCCGTACTCTAGTAAGATGTAGTAACACAGAAGAAATGGGTAGATTCCTAAATGCATATGAATTACAAAAGTTGAATCAAGAAGATTTAAATCTTAAGAAGATTTAAGATTAAAGTCTAAATAATGCAATATCAGTTAATGAAGTTAAAGAAGTAATTTTTAAAATCTACCAACAAGAAAAGCATAAGTTCTGATAGATTCACTGCTGAATTCTACAAAACTTTCAAGAAGGTCTAATGCCACTATTCCTTAAATTGTTTGATAAAATTTAAAGGGAGGTAATACTCCCATGCTCATTCCTGGAGCAAGCATTATCTTGACACCAAAACTAGAGAAGGATCTAACAAGAAAAGAGAATTACAAGCCAATCTCCTTGATGAATATTGATGCAAAAATCCTCAGTATGATACTTGCAAACAGAATGCAGCAAATCATCAAGAGGATTATACACCATGACTAAATGGAATTCATCCCAGGGATAGTTCAAATGTGCAAATCAATAAATGTAATATACCACATTAAGAGAACCAAAGACAAAACCCACATGGTTATCTCAATAGATACAGAAAAAGCATTTGACAAAGTCCAACACCCATTCATGATTAAATCTTACAGAAAATTGGAATAAATGTTCCTTATCTCAGTGTGATAAAAGCCATCTATGACAAACCAACAACCAACACCATACTAAATGGTCAGTACCAAAAGCTGTCACTCTAAAATCAGAAACAAGACAAGGATCCCCATTATCAGCACTCCTGTTCAGTATACTCTGGGTAAACATTAGCCAGCACAATTAGACGAGAGAAATAAATAAGAGGAATATGGATAAGAAAGAAGTTAAATTATCATTATTTCCCAATGACCTGATAGTCTACATAGAAACCCCCAAAAACTCCACCGAATGACTCTTAGAATCAATAAACAAATTCACCAGCATAGCAAGATACAAAATCAACACTCAAAAATCAATAGTATTTCTGTACACAAATAACAAATTCACTGAAAGTGAAATTAAGGATATAACACCTTCACAATAGCATCAAGAAAAATGAAATCCTTATGAATCAATCTAACAGAGGAGGTAAAAGACCTATACATTTAAAACTACAGTACTCTGAAAAAGAAAATAGAAGAGAATATCAGAAAATGAAAAGCTATCCCTTGTTCTTGGATAGGCAGAACCAATATAGTGAAAATGGGCATACTTCCAAATCTGTTTTACAGATTTAATGCAGTCCTAATCAAAACACATAACTCATAGAAGTAGAGAAAATAATTCTAAAATTTATATGGAACCAGAAGAGATTTAAAACAGCAAAAGCAATTCTGGGCAACAAGAGGATGGTAGGGGGCACTATAGGGCCCAATGTGAAGTTATCTGTGATTAAAAACAGCATGGTACTGAAAAACAAAGACAGAGAGAGACCCAAGGATCAGCGGAACAGGGTAGAAGATGCAGAAACCACTCCAAGCACACCCAGCTACCTTATCTTCGACAAAAGAACCAAACACTTTCACTGGAAGAAAGATAACCTCTTTAATAAATGGTGCAGGGAAACTGGCTTTCTCCATGTGAAAAATTAAACCTAGACCCATATCTCTCACCATGCATGACCATTACCCTAATCCATTTATCCATTAGAAGGTTAGAATTTTGTTTTAAAAGTAGTATAAAGGAAAAGATTGCCTGGCATGGTAGTGCACACCTGCAATCCCAGCTACTTGAGACGTTGAGGCAGGATAATTGCAAGTTTGAGGCTAACCTTAACAATTTAAGTGATATCCTGTACCAAAAGCAAATTTTAAAGGGGTTGGGGATACAGCTGTGTTCCCTGAATTCAATAGCTGGAGATAAGAAGGGGGTAATAAATTATTTTTGTCATTTAGAACTAAGAATGTATAAAATAGATACTTACAGACCCAGGCAGGCTTATTGTCTTGGGAGAGGAATTCCCAAATTCTTTTATCTCTGCTTTTTATTTACTAAGGGTTCGTGTATAAGACCTAAACTCCAGTACTTTTCCTTAGGGTAGTAAAACGTCATCTGGGACGGCAAGAATCAGCATGCTGCATGGCCCTGTGTATAGTGTGAGGGCTTCTGAAAACTATAGTACTCTGAAACTACAGTACCCCACCCTAGAGGACACAGGGTGAAGTCTGGAGATGCTGCATGGAAACATCTCCAGGACAGTCTCCAGCACAGAGGAGTATCTGGCCCCCAAGATCAGAAGCACCAAGGACACAAGCCTGCTTTATGGTAAAGACCCTCAAACTGGAGCCTGGAGACCAGTAACATGAGCATCACAGGGGAACATGGTAGAATGCCAGTCCTCAGGCCCCACTCTTGAGCTACCAAGTCAGATTCTAGAGATATAACCCAGAAATCCCTTTGAGGGGCCAGGATGCATGCTAAGATTCATGAAAGAAAGAGGGCTGTGATACAGGAAACATGTGACCGTGCTCCTGTGGATAATGGTGAGGGAGAAGGAAGAAAAGAGGGAGGGAGCTGGATTTATGCTGCTTGCTCCTTGGTGAGCTGCAGGTAACAGATGAGGAGGTAAAGAAGGGCAGCAACAGAAATACCTGAACAGGTAGCTCCCAATTTCCTTGAACAACTTCCTGACCACACTGGCTGCTGGTTTGTGACACATATGGATGCAAGGGGCAGGGACAGGGGAAATAAAAAGAATTAAGATGTGTTATATACATGTACCAACTCCCCACAATGAATGTAATAATTATGTAGTGCAAGCTTGGGCAAAAAAATTTTTTCTAAATTTTAAACAAAAAGATAGCCAGGCATGGTGACAAATGCTTGTAACCCTAGCACTTGGGAGGCTGAGGCAGGAGGATTACTGTGAGTTTGAGGCAAGCCTGGGCTACAGCCTGTCTGGAAAAAAAACTAGAAGCCAACACACAAGGATTCAAGGGGTGCACCCAAGGTCTTAACTCTGATTAGGGTCAGTGGCCCCTGTGCAACTGGCCCGGCCCCAGCTCTCACGGGAGTTCTCAGAGCCTCCAAAGCATGGCTGGGATCCCATTTGGTTTGGTGAGGTGGTCCCTCTGCAACCCTCAGTGCAAGGCTAATGCACATCTGTGGTGGCCGACTCTTCCAGGTCCCCCTGACAGTCTGGCTGCTAACCTAGGGCCTGTCCACCCCACACTGGACTTTGCAATGGCTTGAAAAAACAGAACCCCTTCAGTTACTCCTCTTTATCCATGCAGGGCCACCAAGGGGAATTTTCCTAGGGGCCTAGACAGCCTTTGCTACCACTCAGAAGGGTGAACATGCATAGAAGGACCAGGAGTAGATCACAGAATCAACAGGGACTGTGACTCAGATGCCAAAGGTGAGAAAGAGGCATAGTTGGCTGCAGAGTCTCCAAGAAGTAGAGTTCTCACCTGGGAATAGAAACCCAGTGCTTTGGAAAGACAATTGGAAAATAAAAGGAAAATGCTGATTTTATAACCCTAAAAACACAAAACATATATGAACTGCCTGTCATTTCTTGCATTCCATTTTATATTTTATTTTGTATATTTTATTTTTATATTTTGTTTGATTTACTGGGAGGATCACTTGTTTCAGATTCACACTTGCGAGGTTAAGTATTCTGAATATCTTCTTACTTTTTTCAACATTTTATTGGGTGGTCAAATAGCTTTTATCATGGCAACATGACAAAGTATGCAGGCATATTGTGTTAACATCAGAAACAGATGCACTAACTTAATCCAGAAGAGGGATGTGCTAGAGGTGAGGAGGTGGATAGTGTCCCCCTGCAAGGCTGGGCTAGACAGAGAAGCCAGGGTAGTTGAGTGGGGGGCATAGGTGTCAGAACTGATGGGCTATTTGCAGCACCACTGTCAGCATGACTCAGTTCAGTCCATTTCCAGTATCACTCCACTGGACACTTAGGATCCTGGAAAAGAAAATCTGATTTAGCCTATTGTGCATGACATGCACAGGGGAGACAGTGCCATAGCCAGTGGGGAGGAAGACACCTTGATTATTAGATCCCTCTACTGCGGGGAGGGTGAGTGATTCTTTAAAAGAGTAACTGGAGCGGATGTAGCCAGTGGTAGAGTGCTTGCCTAGCATGCACAAGACCCTGGGTTCTGGGCCCTCCAGAGGTAGCAGCAGCAAATGGATATCTGGATTGCACTGCCAACAACAGGAGTAAGGGAAGCAGAGCACTCTGATAGCAGGCACTCAACTAACGACAAACACAAAGTCTTCAGCACTTGGGCCCAATGCATTCCCAACCTGTGACAACCTGACAGACGCACTAGAGTCATCTAACATGACAGCCTGAGAAATAGGTGTAGGGAGGAGAATAGAGTTCAGAGGAAAAAAGCAGTGGAGGATGCTGGGATTGGCTTACAGAGAGATAAGGATCCTGTAAACACAGACAGAATGCCAGGAAGGGAGTTGGGGTAGGTCAGTTGGAGGAGAGGGTTAGTGAGTTCATCTCAAACTGGGAGGGAGGAGTGTGGCTATGATCTATTGACAGTACCTGGGCAGTGAGGCAGGCTCCCGTGCCCTGGGACATAATACACATCCTGCTTTCTTGCTGTCTCTCAGCTAGAAAGATCCAGGAGCTACAAATGAACCTTCAGAATGCCATACCTAGAAAATGCTCTTTTGTAAACTGGATTTGTTGGCCAGGTGCCGATTCCTCAAACAGGATAATCTGTCAAGTGGAAGAAAGTGAGGCAGCATGAGATCAAGTTCTGCCTCTCAGTAAAGTATCATTCAAAGAAAGTGGACTGGGAGACAAAGGTGCTGTGGAGGAGCTCACTTCATTTGATCCAGGATGAAGCCAGGGTCCCGGAAGGTACAGGGTTTTTTGGGGACCTATAAGCCAGTAGCGTCCTAGGTTTCTTCCATTGATAAATATGACTCCTTTCTTCCAGCCCTGAAAAAAGTTAAACAGAAAATTCAGAATCTGAGTTTGAGATACTAAAACATGAATGGTGAACATAGCACAGTCCTACCCAAAAAGGGTGAATTATTAGCAAAAGCCCTACATAAAAAGAAGACGGAGAGTTCTTAGGCTTCAGGAAAAAGGGAAGACTTCTGTCCCATCTCCTTGCACCCACCCTAAGCCAACACAGGGAATTTCTACATATCATGGGGCATTTGTCAAAATATACCAAGCTTGAAACTTAGCTACAGTTGTAGAATTTCAGCTGTGGCAGCCAATATGTTCTGCATGTCACTACAACATTCTGCCACAGACCCAATGGTGAGTTCATGAAGATCCACACCCTAGGATACATCTGGAGACTCATGGGTCACTCTCTCTAAAGTCCCTGTGCAGTGCATTCTCCAGCTGTTCCACCAGAAACTGCATGCACTTCTCAGTTGCACTCACTTTGTTTACAATTCACCACTGCCTGTGTCCACCTAGGAACAGGGCAGCCTCCCAGATGGCTGTAGAGTGATTGAGGTCCTGGAGCTTAGATTCCCCTACCTTAGGCAGGGCTTATGCATTAAAGGTTCTTTGCAGGGTAGAGGCTAGGAGGGACATGAGCAGAGGAGATGATACTAACCTCTAGTTTTATGAAGGTGTCTTGAGGAAAATCACCAACTCTCAGGAAGGCAAGGAAAAACGCAGGGCCCCAAACTTCTTTTGTGACTGGTTTCCAGAGGCTGGGGAGTTTCCTGAGAGGGAATCAAGGGCCAGCAGGAGAGTCATACCTTTCTAGTGTGCTACCTGTGACTTTGAAGTTAGCCTCCTCCCTGGAGCCTAGTGTGCCCCACTGTGGTGCTGGCTGTTTTCAGATGCATAATACAGTAAGACCTGAAACCGGCGCTGGGAGGATGGTCACCACGCTGTTCCCAGAAACCTAGAAAACCTGGAGTAATTTCCTTCAATGTTCTGGGGCTCTGTCTCTCCTATCTGAAGACCACAGGTTCACCCACAGGACCTCTGAGGCTCTATGACTATCACCATGCACATTATCTTTGATCAATTTGGGATCCATGGTAAAGCACTCGCCTTTGCATGAATGCAGTTTTCATCTCCAGGCTGTAGATTGTAAATTTTCTTAATGGAGAATTGTCCAGATAGATATCCCCAGTTAAACCTGTGTGAGAGCAAAAAAGGGGAGCATGAAGGAGGTGAGACAGAGCAGAAACATACATGGCTATAACCACGGCTTCCCCTAAAGGAGGTTGCTTTCCTAGCCTCATCTGACTGGAAAGTTTATCCAAACTCTTACACTGGTTTTTGCCTGTTTGTTTTGTGGTACTGTTTGTTTTGCTTCATGCATGCTAGGCAAGACCCCACCTCTGAGTTAGACCCGTAACCCAAATCCTACACAGTTTTCCCGTCCAACTGTACATCTCCTAGATAGTACCTGCATTGTCCACTTTATTAGCATACTGGTCACTGCAACACCCACACAGTGATTCAGGCCAGCTTGACCACTCAGGTGTATCCAAGCACTTCAGGTAGGAGGTGTGTGAAGTGTACCCAGCAGTTCTGGGGCCAGGGGAAGGACACACAGAGGTACTATGCTCCATAGACAGAACAGGCGAAGTCCCTAGGGAGAGACCCTAACTATTATTTTCCTTCAGACATTTCTACAGTTTTCTCCTGATCAAGCCACTTTCAAAACCCTCTCAAAGAGAAAGGGCCATTTGCTGGCTCTGGTTTGGTAATTAGAGAACACAAAGACATCATCACAGTTTCCAAATGTAGGTCTCCCACAGCCAAGAAAGTGTGCTCCCTCCCCTCACATGCTTGTCCACAAATGCTCTCAGCCTGGGGCAAGAGGCACAGCAACTTGGTGCACAAGGACTCAGGCATCTACACTTGGAGCTCACCTTTTCTCTCCTTGCTGATATCAGGCCCATATGCAAGTCGACCTTGATTCTCCACCAGGATCCTCAGGATTCGGTTGCCCTGGAAGCCCTATGTAAGGCAGACCCAGCAGAGTGAGTACCACAGACTTTCTAGGCTACCACTGTGGCAGAGCTGAGGACCTGAACAGAGTAACTGACAGTTGATGGGCTTCAGAACCCTGTGGACCTCCAGCTCTGGGCCAGGCAAACCCTTGGGCTCCTGCTCTGTCTCCTCATCCAACCCCTCCAGGTCAGGCCTTTCAGGGAAGGAAAAGTCACTTGAATATCTTTTTAGAGATCCTAAGGGACTGGTGACTGACCCAGAATTTTTGAGTAGCAAATATTCAACATAGAAAACTCCGCTCACCAAAAGGCTATATATACATAGAGATGTACACAACTCTCCCATTGTCTGCTGGGTTCCTCTGCAAGGGGCAGTCCAAAGGTAAGTGGAGGAGAAAATGGGCTATCCCAGGGCCAAGCCACACTTACAACTAGGTGTACATCCCAGCAGGCACTACAACTATTTGCCCATTAACATGGGGTTATACCCATGTTAATATACAGCTTAATATACACCTTAATATGCAGCTCATCAGAGGAATGATCCAGGACTCCTAAATACTCCTCATTTAAAAACACCTGCCAAAGAAAGAAGAAAACATTGTTACTTCCTCTATGGGGATGGAGGAGAGAAGACAGAAAAACAAAAAACACAGCATGTCTAGAATAGTAATTAACTTTTTGTCCCCAGAACCCTACAAGCTCCCTACAAGCTCACCAAAACAGATTATATTTAAAGCACTACAGTGATGAGATGCAAAAGGTGAGGCCTGTAGAAAGGTGTCCTGACATGAAAGCTGGGGCTAAGTCCATGTAGCACAAGGAGGAGGGAGCATTAAAAAGATCAGTGGGAAATTAGAGAAACAAGGAAGGGAGAGATCAGTCAATATTGGGAAGGAAATGATGGCAAAGGGAAGATGTGGGAATTACAAGGACAGTAATTGTTCCATCTGCCTGAACACAACTGTTCTCATGCATTCAACTCTGTAACTGACCCAAGCACCGGGAAATCTGCTAGAAGTTCTCAGATTCTTATGTTATTGCCACCACTCTACCTGTTTATAGGCATAACCTGAAGGTAAACCTGAGTCTTCTCTGTTATCTACCATATTGCACTGGCCCCAGATTAAGCCCTGCAGAAGACTTGACTCTAACTATGCAAGACCAGATAAGGATAAATAATTTGTTATTACCCACAGTAGATCACAATTTTTAAGTGAAATTTGGCTAATGAACTAAAATTAAAAATCTGCAAGAATTAAAAACATAAAAATATTAATGAATTGAATAGAGAATTTGTATTTTAAGTTCACCAGAGTCTAATGACAAGTTCATATATTTCATGACTGTTTATTGAATACCTACTATCTAACTAAATATTTCCCTGGGACAGTGTCATCTACATTAAAACACAGCAGCTATTGAGGAAATCTGATGGGGAATGACACAAAAAAATGATCAGAGCACACCACAATAGCAACCTCAAAGCTGTGGACAGCCTGCCATGGGAGCACTGAAAAAGGAATTACAAGTCCGAAGCAACTGCAAAACCAGGCTATTTGGCAGACTTGGGGAAAGTGGCCAGTGGAACCACTGAAGGAAGGTAGTACAGAATGGCATCTGAGCTTTTACATGGGGCAGAAAACTCTGAGGGCACCATGAGGCAAGTTTGCAGGGAAGACAATAAGATGGTGGGTGAGGATGAGTGGTCAGAGATAAGAAGATCAGCTGTGAGATTCTAAGAATAATAGACAAGAGACACTGAGATGAAACTAAGGCAGTAACGGTCTGGATGTTATAACAATGACTAATTAATGTTGTACCACACAGGAGCCTGTTGAAAGCAAGGAATAAGGAAAACATGTGGAACAACACTTTCTTGGGAAGCTGTGAATCCATGAACCAATGTGTGGTTTACTTAGGGAGCTAAAGAGTTTGGTTTCAAACACAATGAGTTGGTAAAGTCCGTGGGACACAGACTAACTGAGGATATATATCCAATAAGTGGTGAGAAATATGGGTCTACAGCAAAGGAGATGAAGGCTGGAGTCACAGAAACAGAAGCACTGGTTGAGCATTCCTTATCCAAAATATGTAGAACCAGAAGTATTTCAGATTTTGGCATTTTTAGAATTTTGAAATACAATGATACCTTTATTGTCAAACTCAATTCTTTCCAAATTCCTGATCAAACACCAAAAAGTTCAAGAGCTGAACATATTTTTCCCATAAGAATTGAAAACCAAATAATGGGTTCTGAGGCCCCAAAACTAACTTATAAATTTATTTTTCCAGGACTTTAACAAATTTTGCAATGATTTTTTTCTTTATAATGCTTCTCAGTTTTCTTCTTAGGTTTACTTCTTAGGTTTCTTTGGGGCCAGGGTTACAATATTTTATATAAATAAAGTGCACAAAGAAAAAAAGCACAAGGATGAACTTTTCAAAGCACTAACACAGCAGTGTATGTTGCCTGGGTGAAAACGGTACTTAGACTGAAGCGTTGCCCCTTCGTGTCCAAGGTGAGACATAACATCTGACTCACTCACAGCTTGTATAGGTTTATTCAAGTCAGATTTTTGGTCCAACTATCAAGCAAATTTATGAACACTAAGCAGATGTTTTTCTAACTTTGCTGTTCCAGTAGTGGAAAGTTTGAGCTTGGAGCTACTTGTGAGAAATAGGCTTTGTCTTTTCTGTCAGAGCTCAAGGCCAAAACAACTCTATTTTGGATTTAAATGACCTGCCTCCACCCCATTAATATCCTGAGCTCCAAGAAATGATGACTATGTACTTTTCCCCAAAACACAACTGGTTCCCAAGATAAGAACTAAGAACTTCTTGTCCCCACAGGCTCCCTCTACCACCACCCCTCACTGCTTGAGTTAGTCAACCATGAGAGATTGCAAGCCTTTGAATTCAACCAATGAATTTAAAGGTCAGCTGCTTCTCTTGCATTAGGGATAAAAGGGGCAACCCTCCTTTGTCCAGCATGCCTGCTACCTCATGCTTGTGCCCTTCTGCAGAAGTAAAATGCTTTGTTGAGATTTCTTGATATCTAAGTGCTTTATTATCTAGATTGACAATTTGAGTATGGGCAGTTTTTTCCACCATGTTTGACAACCAAGGTATCACTGTACTTGCATAAACTTTAGCAGATGAACATCCCTAATCCCAAAATCTGCAACTGAAATTTTTTGAGCATGATGGTGGCACTCAAAAAGTTTTAGATTTTTGAGCATATCAGATTTTGGATTTTCAGATGAGGGATACCCAATCTTCTCAAAGGCTTGGAAAAAGATGATATGGAAACTCTGAAGAGCAAGAAATTTTAATCAACTGCTAGAAAAGATAGCTGAAGTAAGATGAAGCCTACTGACTCAGCTCTGAGCCCTTCTAGCTGAATATCCTTTGAAAGTCATTTAACTTGTCTGAGGTTCCCTTGTTTGTAATAAATATCTCAGATAGGTGTTTTAAGAGTTAAATAAGAAGACCTCACTGTTAATATGCTATGTAAACATTAGGAGTTGATAGGCAATAGTTATGAGGACTACTTAAGCTTTCCCCAGGTCTTAACACTATTGGCTCCCCTAAGGTCCAGGAGACTCCTGCAGGTACTCACACATATTAGACACATACCAGCAATAGCACTTCACTACTGTTTAGACATTCACCACAGCAGTAGTTGGGTAATGAGACAACGGACAAGTACCACTAGGACTTGTTCACCGTCCCATACCTGCCCCCGGTCTTGAACATGGCCCCTTGAGGTAAGGAAGCCTCCTTTGCTGATGGTAGTCTCATAAAGTATGTAGCCATAGGACTGACCACTCCCTTCATTCACGAACAGCTGCTCCATGGAGACCGGCTTGGCAGATGTGATAGGCTGTGGTAGAGACAGGAGCAACAACCAAAGGTGCAAGCTGGGTAGAGAATAGCAGAACTTCCACCCCAAGCCCACTTCTCTAGTCTTGCAAACAAGAGTATCAAAGGGAATATGAAATAATCATGTTTAAGTGTGAGATGTAAATTTCCCCCTCTTATTTTCCAAACCAGCTTCACATCTCTCTGCACTTACTAGTTAGCAAGGTATCATTATACTCTAGAAGGAAAAGCTGAAGTAAAAAAAATGGAATGATTTTTGAGCATTGCTCATCAACTCATGGTAGAGTTTGGATAAGATTCCTGATCCCTGGAATTCCAATCCAGCTATGCAAAATTCTACATGTTCTTCTCTTCATTTCTCCTTTGATATCTCCTAGGAGTAACCATTCCAGCCCACAGTCCAACTTCCACGCTTTTTCATAAGCTGCATTTCTAGCACTGACCTAGAGTACTCTATGACTCTTCACCCTCTTGTCTACTGAACTTCTCCCTCTAGAGGCCCAAAGATGCTTCTAGGGCAATGTCACCCAAATATATGCAAGAGACATCCCCAACCTGCTCCTTTTCCTTTAAGAAGGACAACACCATCCATCCAGTCAAGAAGAAAATATGGAGTCCTCTCCTCTTCTACCACATCCTATGGTATGTCAATCAGTCATCATCTGTTTTAAAGACAGACCCTAAATGATCTGCTTCACTAATCTTCCTTCACATACCTGCTTCCTAAACTCAATTTCAATAGATTCCTACTTGTTTTCTCCAGCATGGCCCAACGCTATCTGTGCCTCACAAAGCTAACAAATCCTTCTGAAATGCAAATGAAAGTCAGATGGCTTCTCATAACTGTTGGAGAATGTTCCAACTTCTTAGCATAGAAAGTAGCCTTTCAGAACTAGGTCTGTAGAGCACAAAGTCTGAAAAGAAGCAAAGAAGATATCAAAACCTAAAAGAGTTGTGTCAAGAGGACATAGATATCAACTTTATGGGGCTCCAGAAGGCATATGGTGGGACAATTAGAGCCTCACAAAGAGACCACGAGGGCTGAGGTTTTAGATAGGTGGTAAACGCGTGTTGGGAGAACTGCAATAGGGTTGCAACATGCTAAAAGTATAAATTGCTATAAAAGACCAACACAATTTACTGGCTCTCTTCCAAGGCCTCATAGGAATAAATTCAGTTTTCTGATAAAAGAAAAGAACTTCTGTTCTGACTTCTCTGTACAAGGTATACTTCAGGATAGATAATTCATGAAGAAAAGTTCGTCTGTGTGGAAGAATTCAAATGAATAAATGCAGAGGGAATTATAGAATTTGGATATCTTTTTCAAGGCTTTTAATGAAATACTGTTTAATTTACCAATACACAGCTAATCTTATATCACCTATACCTTGGTCTTCCCTGCCTCCCTTGTACAGGATTATTTTAAAGCAGATACCATACATCATAGAATTTCAACTACATATATTTCAATCTGGATCTCAAAAGATTAAGACATTAAAAATAACTTAAAAAATCATAATAATACTAAAATTATATAATTCCTTTGAATCATTTCTGGGAAATGTTTAGCAATTGTCTTTCTAGAAGACAAAAGCTGCTAAATTGCAATGTTTGCAATTTCTGTGGCATAAAGACTCACCATGGCTCATTTTAATGAGTAACTAATGACTATCAAAATCATTAGGAAGAAAGTTGATGAGAAAATTTAAAATGAATAGGTAAAGTGACAGTACCTAAACTCTCTGATAAATCATGAAACCAGAGACAACCAGCAATATATGCATAACAGATGATGCATAGAAAACACAGCAGGGCCTGTGAGGCTGAGGCAGGAACATTGCAAAATCAAGCTCAACCTGGGCAACTTAATGACTTAGCAAGACCTTGTCTGAATAAATAAACAAATAAATAAACAGAACTCAGGAAGTAGCTCAGTGTAAAGGCCCTGAGTTCAACCTCTAATACACACTTACACACACACACACACACACACACACACAGTACAATAGCACCACCTACAAAATATTCTTGCAAACAAATATATTTAAGTAAACCTAACTTAAAGGCTGTAGATCAAACTATCAGTTTATGTAAAATGCAAGGAATTGGAGGCATGTTACCTGATCGATGGGGATCTAGTCTATAAAACAAAATCCAGAACATAGACAATTCTAGTACAAATAACTCAGCTTTTTCAACAAATGAAATAAAGAAAAACTCTTTAAAGAGACTCAAGAGCTAAATCTATGAAATTCAATGTGCAGTGGTCCTCATTTCCTAGAATTATCAAATCAATTCTTAAAAAGGTTATGAGATGACTGAGGAAATGTGCACACTAGATATTTTATGAGTTCAAACAGTGATGTGGTGGTAGGCACAGAGTCAGCTTGTACAAGTATTTGAGAACCATCCATGAATGTATCTTCCCAACTCTGTGCTCAGCATCATGTTAGTAGCTTGAAATTAGCCATTGTAGGAATATTTACACCACAGATATTGGCAACAATATGAATAAGATATTTTTCTTCCAGAGAACTAGTTGCTAAACACTTCCCAGCACATCACTAATTTGAAAAATTTTATAATTATTATTACTCATATTAACAGTGATGTGTTAACTCTCCACTGCTGTGACAAAATACCTGAGAATAATTTAAAGGAAAAAATATTTATTTGGGATCATGGTTTCCAAAGTTCCAGACCAGGGTAACTCATTTCTAGGCATGTATGCAGTGGGGCAGAAATATCATGCCAGTACAGCATGATAGGAAAAGACTACTCATAGCAGCCAGGAAGCAGAGAGAGGGCGAAAGAGCCAAAGAGGATGGGGGTAAGGCCAAATATACCTTTTGAAGACAGATCCCAGTGACTTGATTCATCCAATTAGGCCCAAACCCTACTGAGCAATTGTGAACTAACCATTAATGACGTTAGAGCTCTCAAAGTCCTCCCCTCTAAACACTGCTACATTTGGAACAAAGCCCTCAACACATGAGGCTTGGGGGGACATATATCCAAGTCACAACAGGTGAAAATGACTTTGTTGCATTTTTAAAAGTCCCTATCTTTTGACATACATATTGTTACAGTTGAAATTTTATAATGCCTTGGATCTGCTTTTAAATTTTCTTATACAGGATAGAGAGAGAAGAATAGGGTATAGGTGTAATGATATTGGCCAGGTATTAAAGTTACAGCTGAATGATGGGCACAAGGGGCTCCCTACTATTCTCTCCATTTTTTTTAAACTTCACAGGAGAACATTGCAAACCAACCCATGAAGGCCCTCCACTGTGTGGTGCCTGGCTTCCTTCCTTACACTGTCCCACACAGACCTTACACTCCACCTCAACTGCAGCTCCTGGCACATAGCACTTCCTCCTGGTCTTTACAACTGGGGCTCAGGGTGCCTCAGGCACCCACCCCCTTCCACATCTATCATGTGGTCTACTTCTGGTCACCCTTTGGATCCCTGAGTCACTTACTGGGATCTCAACTGTCCATCTTACTGACTGTGTCTCTATCACAATAATGACAGCCCATACCTCGTTAGCGACCATATGTGCTAGCTGCAGATATCAGCTATTTCATTCACACAATCCAGTGAGGTTGATGAAATTAGCCTCTTTTTACAGATGAGAAAACTTAGGAAGAATGAACTGAAATGACCTCTGTGAGGTCACAAAGCAGGTAAGTATCAGAGTGAAGGTTTAGACCCTGACAGTGACTTGGGAGCAAGTACTCCTTAGCATGGTTTCCTGTTTCCTTGACCTATGATCCTCTAATCTCTTTATTCATTGTTCCTTCTCAGAAGACTGGGTTTGCCTAAAACAACATCTTGATAATAAAGTTCCCAAAACATTATTAATTCACTGAATGTCACAGAAGTAAGTATGCAAGTTTCTCCCTAGACCAGGAGTTTTTAACTGTGTTCCTCAGAGCCCTGGGGCTAAGTTAGAAGTAGTACCATAGCTGAGCCTTAGAGAAGAGGAAAGCATAGAGTTACAGAACTACCACCCCTGACTTCTGTCTCACATACTGAATTTAACAGCAAGTTTAGAGAAAGAGTCCCTCTATTAAAACAAAACTTTAAAAATCATTCCTTTAGATACAGTCAGTGCACCTTCACTCTACTGACCTTCAGAAAGCAGAGATCCTCTGGCCAGTGAGGTTATGAGAAGGAAGTTCACAATATTCTACAATGTGTATACAATATCTTCAAATTTAAATGTCTTCTCTGAGTTTGCATTCTAGTTTCCTGTTCTAAATTATAAAATTGAGACAAGAAACTAACACTTCTAGGGATTGCTTCTTATTCCCCACCATTTACTCTATATTCTTTGAACTAATCCTTTCATTCCTCTTTCCAAAAGCTTCCAAAAGCTTTTCCACATGTATATGTCCAGGAAGTGCTCACCTGGGCCAGGTAGGGTAGGGTTTCCCACAGCGACATAAAATGTAATCGCGTCACTGACTTGTAGACAACCATTGATGCTTGCTCTACCGGGAGGGTCAAGGGAACATCTAGAATGAAAGGCACGTAGTTAGACAACCCTAAAACCCTTGCCCAGGCCCATCCAAGGTCACAAAGTTTATGCTATCTCACAGCCACCAGAATGAGGGCCCAGTTCTGAATTACAAGAAGAGTCAAAGAAGATTCATACCAATCAGCTCTGAGGCAGGGCCCTGCTACCCTGGCAAAGGAAGAGCACAACAGTCCCACTTGCGAGACGAGTAGTTCTCAACCCTGGCCCTCAGAATCTACCCTTTCCTTCCTGGAATCTCTGGATCTTACAAGTGCCACAGATGATTCCATGCCCAGAAAAGACCAAGAAATATGGTCCTGTGCTGAGCATCCAGAGCAGACTCTGCATCCCAAGCATATCCAGTACCCGATGATAAAATGCATGGGAGCAAACTAGACTTCATCCCAAGACATCTCCCCCTGCTTCCTCTGTCCCCTCTTCATGGAGAGAGACTACTTGAGAAGGCTGAGTCACCACTCAGACTGAAGTCTTCACTCAGTACCTGTAACAGAGCGAAGAAATTCCTGAAATACAATATATTCAGGTGTGTAGTTTCCATCCTCTGTCAGCAGTGCCCCATAGTCTGAAAAGTACAGAGAAATTTATCATTTTCCTGAGAAAACTTTGCTTCAGGTTATTTTCCCAAGAAGAGAGGAGAGTTTAGTACAAGTAAAGAGTCTTAATAAAGCAGCTTTGGGAGGAAAATCTGTGCATAAGGTAAGAAAATTCCATGTCCCCAGAAATCCAAGGAAGCAACCTCTGCCGAGTTTAGGAAGACTTTCAATAGCAGCCAAATTACATCAATTCATGGGTCTCTAATAACCCCCACCAGAGCCCAAGGTCCTTATTCCAGTGGTTTCATCTTCCTTTCCCATTTCTAAACAAACACCTTTTATTTATTCACTGGGGGTCCCTTAGAGTTGTCTACCGGGGAGACACACAAGAACATACTCTGGTGCCATCAGGAGATCTAAAGCAACTACTTCAAGGAACTTCTAATATAAGGATCTGCACAGCAGATGAACAAGATTAACATGTTAAATGCTCTGCTTTCAAAGCCCCAGAACCCTAATTCAAGTGGTGGATAAATACTAGCACTGTCAAGAATGAAAGAAAAAAAAAGAATTCCTCAATCCCCAGAACACATTCACAGCAAAAACGATGAGCAGTGCCAGAGATTGTCCTCAGGGGCCTACCCTAAGAAACTCCAGGCTGCAATGATGTTGTGGCCTTGGGTGAAGACAGTTCTGGGGGCAAGTACTTGCCATAGCTGGTGACTGCAGGGAGGTAAACATCCAAAGACTCAGCTCCACCCATGAAGCCAAAGTTGGTACCACCATGGAACATGTAGAAGTTGAGGGAGAACCTAAGCTTGAACATTTCATGCACATCCTTCATTAGCACTGTACACAAAAGGAAGAAGCAGGAGAGGGAATTAGCATTTGAGAAAATTCACAGCTCCTCATTGGATTTTCAAATCACCACAGCAAAAATACTCACACTCTACCAACATCTCATGCCCAGAAATTATGGGAGATGAACCAGAAATTATGAGAGATGACCAGATCCTTCTCAGGCCTGGAAGACTGGTGACATTATTCCCAGGTTCATGTCCATAACCTAAAGTCGTTTCTTACTTTTTCATCTGGGTCTCACATTTGGGATGGTCTTTGCTAGCACACAAATGGCACCTATCAAACATTTGCTTGGATGTTTGTTCTTAGGTACTTATATGGTCAGTTTAGAGTTTCTAAGGCATACTAATTCCTAACAGTTACTGATCTGAAATTATGGCACCAGAAATTTACCTTCAAACTCTTTAAATGGCACAGAATTGAACACAGGGTCTTTGCACTATAAAGCTACATTCCAGAACTTTGTTATTTTTATTTTGAGACAGAGACTCACTAAGTTGCCCAGGTTAGGCTTAAATTTAGAGTCCTCCTGGCTCAGCCTCTCAGAGTGCTGGGACTATAGGCATGTGCCACCATGCGCACCTTCAAACTCCATTTTAATGATCATTAATTCTCTAGGCAGGACTACAGAATAATAGTATAATAATAGCTAATCTGGGATGAGATAACTCTTCTACTTCCATTCAACACACCTCTATTGAGTCTCCCTATTTGATAGAACAGCCCATTCTAATTACTTTTATAGCCTCAGTGAAATATAATTACAATGGCAACAGCTGAAACTTAAATTTCAGTTACAGTTACCTCCGGGCACTCACTCTCTGTGTCCATGTGGTCACACTGATGCTTATGCAGCTTTAACATCTAGAGCCTTGTCTAGTAGATCTCCAGTGCTAAACCAACAGGAGAAACAGGCCAGTGCCATCTACATTGCATGTTTTCCAGACAGGAACTAGCAGGACTCACTGTGCGCATCCAGACTGCGGCGGATCTTACCCCACGTGTCAAAGCCACTCGCTGTGTACACCGTCATCAGCACAGGGCTCTGACCCTAGAGAAACCACGTATCAATTCAGAAATGACTGTACAATTCAGAAGCCACAACTTGCTTAGAAGTGAGCTGTCAACAGACCCTCTGCAGCTCACAGCATCCGGGCCTGGCTCATGACCTGAGTTCTCCTCTCATCCTCACACCATTGTTCTGGTCTTGCCTTTCTTCTTGTGCTTTTAAAGGTCATCTCGCCCAATCCTTGGTAAAACCAATGGCCATTTCCACTTTGTCCTTTCTAAAATGTCCTATGACAAAATCAAAAAACCCCCTTTTTTAGCCGTAGTGCTTAAATTTTAATATATTCTAACAGAGACTAATGTGTGCCTGATAACATACTAATAATTTGTAAGTTTGGTACATCACATTTTTAGAAAGCACACAATATTAGCATTCAAATAAGGCATTGGAGTGATGCGTATAATCTTTTTTTAAAAAGCCTTGATCAATTTTGAAAAATCAACAATGAATTTTTAAAAATCAGAAGAAAAAGAAAGCAAATTCTTCCCTCAACACATAAGGATCACTTGTTGACATTTGCATTTTAAATGCATGGAACACAATGGTCCAGATTCTCAAAGGGAATTAATAACAGCTTATACAAGTGCTTGTACAACTATTTTGGCACTATACAAAGTAAGAGTAAGCAGCCTATGGAAGATACAGTTGAATTTTTCCCCAATTCTGAGGCTGCTCCACTTCCACCAGGCAACAGTAAGTCCACACACCCTTGTCCTACTGAGGAAACTGAACTAACCTAGGTTTTAAAAGGGCTGCTCAGGTGACAGCAGAAGAGCTCTTCCCTTTAACACAGGGTGGTAGGGAAAACAGCAGGTACCAATCATGTCCATTCTTTTCATTGCTAAATGTATTTACTAGTTATGACTGTACTTATGTCCCAGGAACATTTATGACACACTCCCCCAGTGTCTCAGCCAATTTTCTCCTTATTGAGACACAATACCTGACATTCATTCCTTGATATCTTTTTTTTTTTTTTTTTGTACCAAGAACCAAACTCAGGGCCTCGTGTTTGCCAGGCAAGCACTTGTGCTGCTGGGCTATATCCCTGGCTTGACATTCATTTTTAAAGGAGGAGACATTTATCTTTATCTTGCCTCATGGTTTCAGAAGTTCTACCGCAAATTGCTAAACTGTGGAAGCAACCCAAATGTCCATTCACTGAGGATTGGATAAAAAAATTGTGGTGCTTTTATATAATGAAATATTACTCAGCTATAAAGACAGATATCTCACTAGTGTAAGACCTGAAAGAGTGAATAAAAACTAGGAGATATGATAGACACTGTGAAATGAAAGGCAAATGTTAAAGTAAAGGGCAACTGGGGTGTGGGAAAAGACAAGGGAAAGAAGGGGAAATTATGTATGTATGTATAGACAGGGTAGCTAACATAGTTGTACTACTGTCTTCTATTGCTTTACAGAAAGGAACAGTTAATGATTACTTGTTTGATCAATCTTGTATGTCTCCATTTGTTTTCCTGAGACACTACTTTAAAGACATCAAAAGGTAATACAACAGCCATTAATTTCCTACAACTTTATATTAACTCTGTTTTGTTTGTATTGTTCCTATGCTATTTTGTAAATGGACGTTTGTTAATATGTTTTTCTTCTTTTATTTTTAAAATAAATGTTGAAAAAAGAAAGAAGTTTTATGGCAGGCTTAATCTCAGACACAGGATGGTAGAAGGGCCTGGGCAGAGAAAATCCACTCACATCAGGGTGGCCAGGAAACAGCACAGAAGGGGGAACCCACGAGGGTGATACAGCCTTCCTGGGCAGCCCCAGTGACCCACCTCTTCCCAACAGGTCCGACCTTCCCACAGCAAGTCAGCGGTTTCACTTCTGCGATTCAATCACCTTCCAAAGCCTGCCTAGGAGTGCTGAGGCTACCAAGCCAGCAGAGCACATTCTTGATCCAAACTCCAACACCCAGGCAGGCCTGATCTACTTCTATTTTCTTAAAGACAAAGTGCATTTACTTTACATAATGCCACTGGTTTTCTCTTATTCTTTATTTTTTCTTTTTACTATCTAACTTTGTTGGTTATCAAGGCAAATTATCAAGTAGACCCTACAACATATTTCTAACTGGAGTAACATCTGAAAACCTAAGACTTTGTTATACTGTCTGTTGAAAATTCATTGTGTTGGTGTTGATCTATCACATCCCTCAACACACATATAGTTTTTAAAAAAATAAATTGTAAAGTAGTAGTTTCTTATATGCTAATTGATATATTTTATAGCAAAGTGAAATCTCAGTAAATGAAAGGAATGTCTAACACCACAATAAATACAGTATATGTGGCTAATGCATATATTAATATTGTAAAGGTACCAGGAAATTCATATTTTGCAACAGATCTATAAATTCAGCTTTTTTCTGCAATATTGTGTCAGGAATCTACTGTACAGATACAGTGTCTCACAAAATCATGTTTCATGGGGCTAGAAAATGTCTTTTTTTTTGCACCACTTTGTGCAAAAGCCTCTGATGAGATATTTTCCCCAAATATTATGTAATTATTTAATTTTCCCAGAAAATATAAACTTGATTTATTAAATGTTGCTGAACAAAAGGTTAATTACTAAGTGTTTTTTTAAATTTTGCTCAAACTTTAAATTTTGACATATGTGGTATTTTTGAGTTGCACATCTATAAAAGAGTACTATAAACCTACTTGCACCTAGTATCTAGGTGATAAAACATACAAGGTGATTTCAAAAGATCATTCTTAAAATCTGATTCATTTGGCACATCTTTGTTAACATTCAGAATAAAAAAATCAGTAGACCTAAGATAATTTTCAGTGAGGTATGGTTGGGCATGCCTGCAATCCCAGCACTTGAAAGACTGAGACAGGAGGATCACTCTGGCTTTGGGGCCAGCTTGGGCTACATAATGAGTTCAAGGCCAGCTTGGATGACATAGTGAGGCCCTATCTCGAAAATAAAACAATAAAAAAATTTTTTCAAGAAACCCATACATGCTAGAGTCTTAGGAAAAAGAGTTGCTAAGTGCAAACATAGGAGTTTCTGCTCATTTTTCTAGTTGCATGCCTTTATCCTTAGGCAGTAACTCCAGCTTTCTGGTTCATTTGTGAAAGTTTTACTGGGAAAGCATAGACATGATCTTGCAGCTTTCAGTTCCAAAGAATATTTCCAGCACCCTTTTTTTCTGGTAACATCCCAGGAGGTGCTCTGGGCTTCAGAAGCCCTCGGTCTTCTGATCACTGTAATCTACTACCTGCATATTGAACTGGAGTCTCTCATTAGATTATTAAAGCCTGCAGTTCAGGGAGGGTTGAGTCTGTGATATAGACTCTGCCTCTGGCTGGACAAACCAGCAAGTAGTGAGGCATCACATAATGACTTCAATGGGCACATCCAGGTTAACAGCTGCACTTATCTGAGACACTCTGTCTTCTACCTATGGAAGAGTCCTTGGAAACTACTCAATAACCAGTGACATTTGGTGAGGTTTTTCAGCTTATATAGGCCAGCCAAGTCATGACATCATTTGGGATAAGTTTCCTTCAGTCAGTGAAAGCCTTGGCCAACACACTAACTTAGTTTTGTCTGAGCAGGTCCTGAGAGGTGTTGCTTCAGCTCAAAGGAACTGATGATGCTTGACAACACAGTGCCCTTGCCAAAGCCCAGAGTCCCCAGGATTACGGCACAATAGCCTCACAGATGCTCCTTGACCATGGGCAGGAGCTCAAACTGTGCTTGATCAACAATGGGCCTTTGGCCTGGCCTTGCACACTCTTGGATCAATGGCCCAGAAACTTCTAGAAATAGAATCTTTTCATTTTCTTGCGTGGAGAGTAGAGGTCTAGTAATAAACTGCCTGACACTGAAACAGCACTAAAAACACTCAACAAGTGAATACTGAAGTGTTAAGTCCCATTAAAGGAGAAATTCCCAAGCCCAAGATTCCTGAATATCTTCTAGTGCCCAGCCTTCCTTTGCCACCCCTGTCACCTCTAGCTCCTCCTCTTCTAAGTCGTGGGGATTTATTGGGCTCTCTGTGAAGGCTGGACTCTGTAGTTGGTTCTTCCGATTCTGCTGCTTCTAGCAGACCTGAAGTTAACACATCCCTTGAATTTCTGCTTTCCTTATTAACACAGTGCCCAGCTCTGGGGCCCCTCCTCCAGACCTCACAGGGTATGTGTTCAGGCCTGTGCTGCCAAGTGCTTCCAGTCCACCCAGAACACACTGACAACTTGATCTGCTATGAATTCTTGTGGCTTGAACTTGTCTTTATATTTCTGCCTGGAAATCTCTATGTTTAATTTTTTTTTTAACTTTTATAAAATTCCAAAAATAATGTCTCAACCTTTTAAGGTTAATTAATCTGTAGCCACATGGTTCAAGCCCCTGCAAATTCCTTCTTTTTACTCTCACAGAATCCCAAAATCGTATGTTGAAATTCAAGGTGATGAGGTCACAAACGTGGAACCTTCCTGAATTAGAACCCTTATAAGAAGAGATCCTATAGAGAGATGTCCCAGAAAGCTGCCTGGCTCCCTCTAACATAAGAGGACACAGGAAGAAGGTGCCATCGATGAAGCAGGAAACAGGCATTCACCAGACAACAAATCCGCCAGCAACTTAATCTTGGATTTCCCAGCCTCCAGAACTGTGAGAAATAAACTTCTGTCATTTATAACCCACTCCACTTATGATATTTAGTTGCCTAAACAAAGACAAATGTTAACATTAAGAAAGATTTTAAAGGTATTTTCATATCTATTGCTTCTTGCCTCGTGTGCACGTTGCCAGCTCTGAGTACTGACCACATATAGGTGGTTCACAGCAACTCTTTATTGTCATGTGATGAAGGATCCATGGGTAGCTATGGCAGTGCATTCCATTTTTGGAGAATCCAATTGTTAGAAGTCATAATCCTGGTAATGACCCAATATATGTTTTCTTATTAATGTTTGCTCACTGAAAATAATTCTGTTCTTTGG